TTCCCCCAAAAAATGAAAAAATTCCCAAATTAAAAGCGTACCCCTATATCACCCACTTATACAGTAGACTCATCGTCGGGGTGTTCGCAGACCGACGGGCCGAGACGAAATTCCTTCAAGAAAGTGGCGGCATCAGCGGCGGGGAGGCGATCCCGGGACTTCTGGACACCCCTTGGTTGGTCCAAGTCGATTTGACAAGCCTCAGCCTTTAAGCGGTAGGTTACGTAGGTTTCACATGGTTGCACTATCAGGGACTTATTGAAGCTGGTCGCGGAAGAAGGGAATGACAGATCTGTGGGGCAGATCCAGACAGGCCAGGAGTCGATGCCCATCAAAGGTTTCGGCATATTCTCCCACAGAAAATGCATGTTCCAAGTGTTGTTCCCTTGCCGTTGCCCAAAGTGCACTGTTTTTGAATGTGGTTATGTATTTTCGCCCCCGTAAATTAAGATGCACCTCATGGATGTATGTTCCGCAGTGATCGTGGTTCTAGCTTTGTCCTCGGTGCATGTCCTGCACTAGGTGTGGCTGCTTTCCGCGATCCGAGAACTCGTTGTGCCTCTGTTGCAGGACCATTGGCAGGCTCCGTGAACTGGTGGAAGCACCTTTACTCTGCCGTGACCAGGAACAAGAGGCATTGACCATCCTTCGGGTTGCAGCAGGGGCATTGCTTGATCTTGCGGAGCTGGCAGCTCCACGTTTGGCGGCAGAGCGGCAAGCAGCAAATCTGGCTGGCTTCAACACCGACCCCTTGCCTCAGAGGGCACCCGTTGTTGCACCACCGGTTGACCCCATTGCTCCAGTCGCGGGACGCCCTTCGGCTCCTGACATTGGTGCAGTCAAAAGTGAGGGAGACGTCGAGGAGAGCAAGGAGCCCCTAGTTGAGGTCCACGAGGCCGGTCAGGACGACGCAGCGGACCACATCAACAAGGACAAGGAAGAGGCCGTTGAGAAGGAGAAGGCTCCTGGTCGTGGCACGGGAGCAGAAAAGAAGAAGAAGCGGAGGCACAGGTCTGCGAGAGAGTCAGGCCGAGAGGAGAAGAAGCCCAAGCGAAAGAGGAAGGCTAAGAGAGAGGAGTCAAAGGGAGTTAAGGAGCAGGAGTCCACTCAGAAGGAGGTTGCACAGGTCGAGAAAGAGCCCGATTGGTCAGGGTTCGTCGAGTCCGATCCAACTTTCCTTGGACTTGCACCCATTCCCAAGGGAAGCGTCGCATCCCACTTCTCCAGGCTTCCGCCACCTCCACCGGCACCAGCCCGTGCAGGACCAGTGGAACCCAGCTATCCTCCCCCGCACCACGGCAGTGCATCCAGGCCAAGGAGTCCATCAAGGAGCCCATCCTGGACACTCCAACGCCGCCCTAGGGGCACCAAGGGAGTCAAGCATCGCGAGCGAGGCTACAACTGGAAACGGTACTAGCCAGGATGCCACCCAAAGCAAAGCCAAAGCCGAAGGCCCGTGTGAGGGCCAAAGCAAAGCCCAAGGCAGCCGTGAGACGGATGGCACGACGAGGCATTCTACGGCGACCAGCAGTTGTCCCGCCAGTGGTTCCGGCTCCTGGGGATCGGGAGGCCTGGTCGGATGGTGGAGTTGCTTCATTGATCGATGTGCCGCTCGAGCAGTTGGGGCGCAGTGTGAAGCTGGTAGTGGTAGAAGGGACCTATTTCACAGCCCCATGCCAAGCTGCCGGAGTCGTGGACAAGATCGAGATCGATTCAGGTCAGGTTCACATCCATGCCAAGCTCTCGGGTACCAACAACGAGAACCTGCTCAAGTATGCCTCGGGGAAGCCCCGGGAACTGGTCAGGATTCACCGGTGCGATGCGCACTGCACAGGAGATCGGGTTGCAGAGGACTTGATCCACGGAGTGAAAGCCCGCTTGAGGAGGAGCGACGCCCTAGAAGAGGGCTGGATCGACAATCTTGTCACAGTCGAGCCAATCGACGACGAGCTCAAGGACCTCCGTGTTCGGGGAGAAGGTCTACCTGCCGATCGAGGAGATCCTGCAGCCGTGGCGCGGGAGCGGGGGCGCTCCTCGGGCAAGAAAGACAAGAAGAGAAAGAAGAAGGACAAGAAGGGCCGACGGCACAAGAAGGGCGACCGCAGCTCCGAAGAGAAGAAGTCCAAGGAGAAGAAGATCGCAAGGGCAAAGAAGGAGGTCATGCGTTCAGGGACTTCGACATCGGGAACAAGCACGGTCGACCTGAGTGGGCGCAAGCCCCGTTCAGCATCCATCAAGCCTCTCAAGGCCCTCTTCGCGGGGACCGGGTTGGACCCCAAGGAGAAAGTCAGAAAGAAGGTGGCCAAGAGGGCGCGTCGCAGGGCCCGCAAGGCCAAGGACACCAAGTCGGGATCCTCAGAGGAAAACTCGTCGAGCGCTTCAAGCAGTCACGATGGGGAGGCTCTGGATTCGACCCTTTTCGACCCCGACACCGGGCTACAGAAGATCGCCGAGTTCGCTCCGGGTGCCCTGGCAGCTCAAGCCTTGCAGGCCATGAGATCAGGGCTCCTCCAGTCGATTGGGTCGGAAGATCGGCCGGGAGCATTGGCTCCTGTTGGTTTGGCGTATTTCAGACAACAGTTGGTCCGTCGATCTACAGGTCCAGTACAACGGGAGCTGGTGAATCTTTGCACAGCGTTGGATTGGCTGGTCAGGGGATCCCCGGCTCGAGCAGCCGATGTGATATCGCAGCGGCTCAAGTCGATCGAGAGCAGCCTCAGTGGGACTCACTGGTCAGTGAGTCAAAGGCTGGAAGTGTGTCCCCAAGACACTATGAGCCTTGCAGCGAAGGAGGAACTTTCCTCTGCCCAGAGGGCAGCGGCCGACGAGGCAAAGGTGACCTACCTGGCCGGCTTGCCGGATGGCCGGCGCTCCAAGGGCAAGGGCAAGGACAAGGACAAAGGCCAGCCCGTTCGCAAGGAGTTCGACAAGGGCAAGGGCCGACCCACCGGGAAAGGAGACCACCGGAAGCAGAAGGACGACCAAGCTGCAAAGTAGCGGCAAACAACACAGGCCCTGGTCAGGAGCCTGTGACTATGAAGCTGGACCCGTCGGGACTTTGTGATGATCTTGTTGATATGTCGCAGATGGAGACGGGTGTGGCTAGCGTGCATGTTTGTGACCCGCCGAGCCGAGATGGCAAAGCGGATGAGGCGGCCATGTCGGCCGTCGCCAGGACCTATGATTTTCCTCCAGCTCCTCCGCCCTTTGATCTAGCGGGGGATGCTCTTCAAGATTTGGATACTTGCCGACCGAGACTGAAAAGTTCGTTTGTGCCTTTGGAACTCGAAGGGATGCCGGTCGATCGAATCGGGTCAATCGTTCTTCAGAAACTCATGGAGGTTGCACCACTTCGCAGCAAGTCCTTTGGTAGGGGAAAGGCCGCCTTCTTTCCTTTGCCTACTTCCATGGGGGTGTTGAGGGACTTTTGGCCGGACATTCAGGAGCTGACGTTGAATTGGGTTGTGTGTGTTACGGTTGGTTTGAATTCATTTTGGGGCGAACAAGTGCTGTCAGAGGAGGTTGTTGCACCGGTTCAGCACGGGTGCTTGCACAGGATACGGCAGGAGGTTGAAAGGATCTGCAAGCTCAAAGTTCAATCTGTAGGGGTTGACTGGCAGGCTTTCTTCTCAATCAAGGGCATCGACTACAAAGGGGACGAGGTCAAGGTGGCTCGGTGGATTCGTTGGGAGAATGTGTCACCTGCTTTGCCCAAAGAGATAGGTCGTGTCCCACTTCATGAAGTTTGCACCCAGGGTTGCCGAGAGTATGTTCTGACCTTTGATTCCTTTTTGAAGCCGCGGGAGAAGTGGGGAAGCACAAAGGGACCTCGGGTCATGGTGGAGGACGGAGCTTGGGGGGAGCTCTGCTCTGGTTTGGTTTCCGCGGGGGTGTGTTGTTTCCTCGAAGAGGGACAGGTGTTTGACACGGGAAGCGGACCGCTCCTGAACGGACTGTTTGGAGTATCCAAGGAGGATTGGACCCCAGACGGGACGGAGATCTGTCGCCTGATTATGAATTTAGTGCCACTCAATAACATCTGTCAACCACTCGGAGGGGACATTGACACTTTACCGTCTTGGAGCATGATGTCACCTTTTTTCCTTCAGCCCAATGAGAACCTCCTGATTTCCTCCGAAGATGTGAAGTGTTTCTTTTATACGATGGCTGTGCCTGACTGCTGGGTCAAGTTCCTGGCATTCAACAAGCTGGTCCCTGATGACTGCCTTCCCTCTGACCTCAAAGGGCGCAACGTCTACTTGGCCTCCGGGTGTTGCCTATGGGTTTTCTCAACTCGGTGAGCCTCGCTCAGAACGTCCATAGGAACCTTGTCAAGTGGTCTTCACGGGGCTCTCCCCTTGTCAATACTGCGGGGTCGGAACTGCGAAAGGATAAGCCCTTTACTGTCGCTAATCCCTCGTGGAGGGTCTACCTCGACAACTATGACTTGCTGGAGAAGGTGGAGGCCACCGGCATGGTTGAGCTTGAGGGCACGGTGCCGGAGGGTGTACTGGCACTACGTCAGGAGTACGGGGTATGGCAGGTGCCACGGAATGAGAAGAAGGCCGTCGAGCGCTCAGCGTGTGCAGAGCTACAAGGCGCTACCGTTGATGGAGTGCGAGGAATCGCCTTCCCCAAGGAGGCCAAGATCAGCAAGTACCTAAGCCTTGCGCTCACCTTGTGTGGACAGCAGCTGGTGTCGCAGCGACAAGTCCAGGTCGTTTGTGGCGGCCTGGTCTACTTTTCAATGTTCAGGCGCCCTACGCTAGGCTCTCTCAATGCAGTCTGGAAGTTCATTGAATCCTTCAAGCCAGGTGGAGGACAGTGGCGTCCATTGCCCGTTGACTGTCGTCTGGAGATCCTGAGGTTCATTAGCTTCCTGCCCTTGATCCGTATGGACTTCAGGTTGCAGATGCATCCCATGGTAACCTGCAGTGATGCGTCCTCAACAGGAGGTGGAGTGTGCCGATCTGATGGGCTCACACCGCTCGGGTGTCTGGCGGCGCAAGGTGAGTTGCGGGGGCAGAAGCCTTTGCCTCTGGTAGAACACAGCGTGTTGGTCATTGGGTTGTTCGATGGCATCGGTGCCATTAGGGTCGCAATGGATTTGCAGGACGCCGAGGTGCTTGGGTATATCTCCGTTGAAAAGAACCCGCAGGCTAGGCGTGTGGTGGAGGCACACTACCCCGGGGTTGTCCATGTCGAGGACGTGTCGCACATCACAGAGGACTTAGTTCGGGAGTGGAGTCTGCGTTTTTCCCAGTGCAGCATTGTCGTGCTAGGTGCGGGACCCCCGTGTCAGGGAGTCTCTGGACTCAACGTCGACCGGAAGGGCGCGCTCCGCGATGAGAGGTCCTCCTTGTTCACCCATGTCTCCAGAGTGCGAGAGCTTCTTCGCCAGTTCTTCTCTTGGGCGCAGGTCCATTCCTTGATGGAATCAGTTAGTTCAATGGATGCCACGGATCGGCGTATTATGTCACAGGACTTTGGCTCCGACCCGGTTCACATCGACGCCGGTGAGATGACTTGGTGCCACAGACCACGGTTGTATTGGACTACTTGGGACTTGAGTGAAGGCAACGGGGTTACACGCGACCCCGCAGGAGAAGTCACAGTCTGGCATCTCGAGGCACAGCAGCCGGTCGAAGAGGTCTTGGAGCCGGGTTGGACTGAGGTGGAGATCAGCAAGGCCTTCCCCACCTTTACAACTGCAAGGCCATCAGTGCATCCCGGGCGCAAGCCCGCAGGGATCGCTCAGTGCTCCGAGGAGGAGCTCGATCGGTGGCATTTGGACCTTCATCGTTTCCCACCATACCAATACCAGCAGGTCCACTCCGTCGTGAACAAGCGAGGTCAGGTGCGAATTCCTACGGTGGCTGAGAGAGAAGTGATGCTTGGCTTTCCACTCCACTTCACGGTCCCTTGTTGCAGCAAGTCTGATCGTAAGGGTGCTCACCATCAGGACACACGTCTCACCCTTCTTGGGAATACATGGAGCGTGCCGGTCGTAGCCTGGTTGCTTAACCAACTGTTGTCCAAGCTTGGTATCTCGCCTGAAATGAGTCCTCAAGACATTGTGTCGAAGTGTCGAACTGATGGCAGCACCGCGCTCCAGGGACGGCTAGTTCGCATGCCGATTCGGAGCGTTCCCACAGCCCCTGGCTGTGAGAAGCAGCTGGCATTTAAGTTGGGTAACTTGATCAGCCTCAAGGGTGAAGACATCCTCATCTCAACTCCGAGCACTCAGTTGGTCAAGTTCCACCGGTTGAGAGCATCAGTTCCCTCACGCTTGTGGCGATGGCGCATTGTCTCAGGTTGGAGGTGGACCAGAGGCCGAGAGCACATCAACTCCTTAGAGCTCAGGGCAATCCTCAATGCTGTTCGTTGGAGAGTCGAGCGTCAGGGCCACCAGGGCGTGCGCATGCTGCATTTGACTGATTCCCTCGTTTGCCTCCACGCCCTCACGCGAGGAAGGACCAGCTCTAAGAAACTTCGGAGCACCATGTCGCGGATCAACTCATTACTGCTTTGTTCTAACTCTCAGGTTCTGTGGGGTTACGCGCACACAGACAGCAACCCTGCCGACAAGCCGAGTCGGTGGGGAACTCGCGTACGCACCAAGCAGAAGCATGCCTAAGCGAGTGTTAGAGGGTGGAACTCAGCAGGATAGAGCAAAGATCCGTAGACAGTTGGGAACGCTTCGACAGTTGACAGTGCAGCCGGCCACTCGCAAGCGCTATGACAAGGCGGTTGATCACTTCCTTACCTTTCTACGACGGGAAGGCCTGGAATTACCCACTAACAAGGTGAAGCTTGACCCATTAGTGTGTGACTACCTGGAGCACCTCTGGGCCACCGGGCAAGGTCGTGGGCTCGCCTGTGACACCTTGGCAGGACTACAGGACCTTCAACCCGGACTTCGTAGCCACATGCCGGCAGCCTGGAGGCTCCTGCATGAAGACGTGGCAAACCAATGAGATCCCCATCCGGGCTCCGCCCCTACCGGAGCATCTGGTCCATGCCATGGCAGGGTGGGCAATCTTTAATGGTTGGATCTCCTTTGCAGTCTCTCTGCTATTGGGTTTCTACACCATGTTGCGGACAGGGGAAATCCTGGGCATTGTGTCGAGCCATGTTGAAGTGGGCACCGGAACTGGAAAGGCTTTGGTGAATTTGGGGTTTACCAAGGGTGGCAAACGCCATGGGGCTGCAGAGAGTGTAGTCCTCGGCTACGAGCCTGTAGTCAAAGTTTTAAAGGCGTGGAAACAAGCCGGTTCCCCCGATACCCGGCTTACGCCTTCTCCACCCAAGTGGCGAGCGTTGTTCAATTCATGCCTTGAAGGCCTCCATATACAGGACCAGGGGTTTCGACCCTACTCCCTCCGACGAGGGGGGGCCACGTTTTGGTTCCAAAAGCACCAAAACTTAGACCGGATACTTGTTCAAGGTAGGTGGCACACGCAGAAGAGTGCCCGTATATACCTCAATGAAGGTTTAGCTGTCCTCAGTCAACTCAAGCTTCCAGCTTCTGATGCACGAATCCGTCCCTTTTTAACTGTGTGTAATAGTTTTTTCCGTCAGCCTCGAATCACATCACTTGAGCCTCCTGCCAAAGGCGGAAGGGCAGGGGGGCTTGGAAGGCACCCCAAGAGATCCAGTAAAGGCAAGGGAAAAAGCGCTTTTCGTTTCGTCCT